CCAACAATTCCCGGGCGTCGCCTTACCCCTTTAAGCCAATCTTCCGCTACCCTCTGCCCCTCCTCCAACAACTCCTCTAACTGAGGCCACTCGTCGTCACACTCGTCGGCATAGCCTCCCAGCCTTGTCCACCGCACATGCCATCCTGTCAGTTGTTCCCACGCTCGTTCCATCGACGCCAGCCATTCTTCCTTCCACTGCCGCTCTTCCACCGACTCTTTCTCCGTGTAGTATGTCCATATTCTCCCCACCTCCCGTAGAACAGTGCCCAACCATTTCTTATCGATTCTCTCCCCCAGCGTTTTCATTCGTGTCCACTGTTCCTCCAACCATTCCGGCTGTATGATCCGGTTACGCAAGAACCAACCCCTTCGTCTCTCAACCCACGACGGTGCCTTCAGCTCCTTACTCCATTTCGTTACAAAGCCCGCTCTTTGCTTCAATAATCTCTTGCGCCGTTCCACCAACTTCCGCCCCTCTTCTACCACCTGTATCCCCTGCCCCAACGACTCTAGTAATTCGCCACCAGACCCTGTCCACGTTGTCCTAGCTGTCATGTGTGCCCACCACGCCTGTCATTCCGTTCCCGACATTCGCGTCATCGACGAGCGCCATTCCATCCACTGCAGCTCGTTTTCCAGGTCTTCTTCCCAGACTTTCTCAAATTCTTCCCAGCCCTTCTCAACTCATTGATTGTCTCCTTCGTATTGGCTTGGTCAGTTTAGATGAATAATGTCGTCCTCATTGATTGTTGTCTCCTTCGTATCCGCTTGCTGGATAGCGTCGTCCCCACCCTCATTGTTTGTCTCCTTCGTATCGGCTTCCTGTACACAGGTCTCTCCGCTTGCTCGTATTCTTCTAGTTACCCGACCGAACACACCCATGGGCCTTGATTTCAGCGTCTGACATGTTTTCAACTTTGTTTTTTTCTGCACTTTCAGTCAAGACAGCGTGTCCTTGGGTGATCGTCCATAATTTGTCTGGGTGGCAGAGCCAATCCTGCCCGCCAGACGATGTCGAGCTTGAGGACCTCGAGCTTGAGTCCGTAGTACCGCTGCCAATGTAGTCGTAATCTGTTCTATGTCACAAAAACTTTCTGCCCACACACCCACACACCCACGCCGTTTGTGTCTCTGCCGTCTCAACACGCCCCCACGTCTCGCTACGTGAACAGCGGCAGGAGGCCGGTAAAAGCCGGAGTCAAATTGCGATGTGACGCGTGTGCGGAGCGTCTCCGGCACGTACACCCTTTCCGTACCCCTGCCACGCCCTCTGCCGGCATCTGCCTGTACGCCTCCATGAGGTCCTCCTCGGTGGTCTGCTCGCGTGTACCAACGCCCCCACGTGCGCCATAACTGCACTCCCGAGCGCCATCCGCTCTGTGCAGTCAAACCGACTGAGCGCTGCAGCCCATCGAAAGTCCTTGCCAAGGCGACGTAATCCGCCCACTTGTCTACTGACCACTTGACGGCGAACAACTCTCTCTCCCTGGCGTCCCACTTGCGCTCTGCATGGGCGAACTTCTTCGAAGCGAACTAAAGGGTATCACATTGAACTCGAACAGGCCGAAGAGGGTGACGAAGGCAGTCAAGTGTTTCCTCTCCTCGGCAATCGTTCCAGAAACGGAAGACACATCTAGGGTGCAGTATTTCCGATGGCCAGCCGCCGTCCTCAGGTGGTCCCGAATCGAATCCGCCACGGGATCGGATAGGAATCCGCCACCATCAACTCATTCAAGCGCCTATAGTCCAGTACGCATCTTGGGGACGAGACGTCCCTACAGTCGCATCGCCACTCTCCCGTCTTCTTTCCACTCGCTCTTTGACGGCCTGATCACACCCAACTCCAACTTCTTCTTCACCTGCGCCTCCAGCTCCTCCCGCAGCTCCAGCTCCGGGTGCCTCGTACGCGCCTTGTATGGCCGTCCCCTCACCGTGAAACGCGCCTCATACCGGGCCTGCGCCGCCTTCGGCGACTCCCACGTATCCCTTTGCCACACTAACAAGCTCCACAGCCTGGAACGGCATCGGCCACCGGCCACACATATCTTCGAACAAACCGTGACCTCAACCAACACCGTAACAAACAAACGACCAGTACCTATCACCGCGATCGTCTCCTCAGTCGTCGTTGACAGCGTAACTCCCGCCCGCTCCCAGTCCTCCCTCTTCAACAAGCTGAGGCCCGCACCCGTGTCCTCGTGGAATTCTAGTTCGGCCCCTTCAGCAAAAAACCCCGACTTCATACATCGTCGCTCGGCCTCGTCCGCCTCAATCTCTCCGCGCCTGGAGCCATTCCCTCTCACCTGAAATGTCGTACGACCCCGACTCAACTCGGCGAACGCCCTCATGGCGGCGTCCTGATCCGCCAGATAGGTCCTTGAGCTCGAGTCCGTGCTGTGCCCCGGCGCAGCCAGTCTTACGACAGTTCCCCCGCAAAAAAACTTTTCAGCCCGCACGCCCATACCGTACGTGCTGTTCGTGCCTCTGCCTCTCACTCAGACCGCGGAGTCTGAAGACCTCGCCCGTGTTCACTCGCGCTCATGTACTTCTCCAGCGTTTCATCCACCGATCCAGACACAGAGGCTGAGAAGCAGGCCGGGGCGAGTAGGGACCGAGGAGTGCAAACGGGGCAGGCAGAGGAGGGACCGTTGCGGTGCAATTACCTGGTCGCACTTGGTTGGATTCACGATGTCTCCACGATGTCCCCGATACAAAAGAACTCGCTGTTCCCTTCCAACACCTTCGCAGTGTTCCCTTTGTAGGGCGTGCGGAGTGACTGTGGTTGAGGCCCGGAGGCGAAGGTCTACAATTGCCAGGAGTTAGTGACCGGGAGCGGCAGTGCGCTCGGGCGACGTGGCCGGTGGGTGTGATACTGTGACCGGGGGCAGAACACATTTCCCGCCGAGCAAGAGACGTCGATGATAGGGGCGTATGCCCCACGCGAATCACTGTGTTGGAGTAAAGTGCGGACCCAGGTTGTGCGGGTCCTGAGGGAGAGCGGCACGGGTGGAGACGAGCCGATAGGCAAAAGGACAGAAGCGAAAGGACCGATGGCCTCAAGTCATCGCTGTGTAGAGACCCAAGAGGATGACAGCTATTGGATATCCGCTGTGCAGAGACGTGAATTGAAGAGAAACTGTGGCGGACGATGTCGGGAGGAGTGGCAGGATGGAGCCCCTCGTAGTTGATGCTCTTGGCTGTCCGACCGGATGTGTGGAGATGGTGTGTGGTGGATAAGGAAAGTGTGCATGCCACTAGTTTGTGCGAGAGCAGTGCGCGGACGGTCCTGAACCGGTGCGTGAGGAAGACAGCAGAGTAGGGGACGTGCACGGGCCGTGAGGCCGTTAAAA